ATGAAGTGCCGGTTTGTTTGCAGCTTGTCCGATTATCCGACTGCTCGTGTTTCTTATTTTTAATAACGTCACCGTCACCATCTTCACTCAATATTCAGGGTCCTGTATTTTCTGTAATGTTAAAAACACCGACAGAGTCACAGAATTTGAAATAAAATTGGAATCAACTGTAAAACCCAGATTATCGTGGAATCTGCCAAAATGCGGACGCAATTTATAGAAACCAGAAGTAATAACCTGTTCATTAGGACAATTCAAAGAACATGTGAACATTGTAACATTGTTTCTGAATGAATACTGATTAAAAAAAAAATGGACAGCTACGAAAATAAACTCAATGAATAATAAACCACAGTTTTCCTTTTGCAAAGTTTTGGACAGGGACAAGAGGCATACATAGCAATAATAAATGCATTCAGAGGCATGGCTGCAGACATGTTCAGCCACGTGCATTAAGAGAAGATTAACACCAGATGTAAAGATGACAGGTTAACAGTGCGTGTGCGCCTGTATCAGTACATGTGCTATCATTTAGACTGCGGGACAACACAACATCAAAAAGGGAAAGAAGAAGTCTTGTCCCTTTTTTTATGTGTATATATTTGTACCAGAGCAGTTGATTAAGATTAGCAAGGGAAACCACCAGCAGCCAAGTTCTGAGTGCTGGTTGTAGCTTCTGGTTGGATGGTATGTTGGTGAACTAACCACTTTGGTGGCTAAAGCCATCATTTGGAGGTTTTTATTCTCTTCTAAAAACTGTATTTGGTTGGCGTTATCCCCACAGTGGCTGGTGAATTTAGGAAATAAGCAGCCTCTGTGGCCGGTTTGGGCTGAAAAAGTCTGCTTCCTGCCATCCCGAAGAAGTCGTCCTTGTTTACAGCAGCAGGGAGGATGATTCACAGGACAACTGCTCTGCTGCTGGAGACTGAGCAGCTCCTCCGGGACACTTAGCGGCTGAGTGTGTTGCCAAAGGGCACTTTTGACAATAGCTTCTGAGCTCTGCATGGTTCTGTCCTTTCAGTCAGTCATCCAGCTGCTCTTAAAGTTATGTTGGCTGACAAACATCACCAGTGTAGAAAGGACATTTAGATCATTCCTTCACGGGTCCTGGTTTTGCCCGAGCTGTTGTGGTCCTGCATGGAACCACGACCGACCCCAGCCGACCTGAGACGGTCTCGCTCCTCAAACCAACACAGTGTCTTGTACCCGAAATCTTTGTCTGTGACCAGAGAGGAAGTTGTATATCCTCAACTCTAAGTGAAATGACTCTTAGCAGTTTAGTTTCACTCCTAGGTTCATGTCTGTTCTTTCCTAAGGGATCGAAGCATCGACTCTGAACCCCTGAAGTTACATAACGCGACCCACCAATCCTCCCGGGACTTAAAGAAACAATTTCCAGTTTCACTCCTGAAACATTGATGGGATAGCTAACTTCCTGTTAAGTTTAGTTTTTTATTCACTCAGTGAGTAAATGTAATGCAGTAACATTAATTAGCTGGTCAGTCACCGTTAACCAGCAAGTTTTACAGTCTGAATAAAAACATTTTAATGAAAGTCACTTGTGTCACCGTCCCTCAGCTTCTCCATGCGTCTCACTGGACCTGACCGCAGTGATTTCACAACCATTTCAATACGTTTTCCTCTGACAGCTGGGTCACAGAACACGTCCTTTATCTTTTGGAAAGCCAGACTTCAGCTGCTGCGAGACAATGGTTTTTCTGTAAGGACCGCTGCTATATTTGTGAGTTGGTGAGCGTGTGCGCTAGTGAGAGGCAGTTTTTGTGTGCGTTTCAACCACGGTCATACTCCCCGGATGTCAATTAACCTACTTTAACTGGTTCATATCACTGCAGTCCAACAGAACCGCTTTTCACCTGTGGAGAGCCGGAGTCATGAGGTTTAAAGTACGCGTACAGTAAGTGCAACTCGTCTGCAGTACTGTAGTATGAACAAAAGCGTGTTCCACAGCGGTCTTAGTCCATATTGAGCTATGAACAAATAGCTTACATAGTCAGGGGTTCAGTATCTTTGGATTGAACCACCGACCTTCCGATTAACTGGCAACCATCAACCCAAGCTCTACCTCCTGAGCCACAGTCGCCCCCTAATTACGACGGATATTTGGTGTCCAAGAGAAAACTTGAAAACTTTCTTGGTATGCTCAGAAAGTCAGTCAGACAGAATCCATGCATGGATATTTCAAAAGCTAAGTTGGTGTTAGACAGTATACCGTGTAACTGTAACGTCCCTGGGTCGACTGCAGCCGTCCACTTGATCTCCCGTCATGTTTCTTGTCTATCCCTTGTCAAATGAAGACACATTTTAAACAGCTGGCGGTTTGTGTCAAACCTAAACCACAAAAATGACCTCCACAGTCAACAGTTAATCTAAAACGATCATGATAGGGGGGACAGATGTGCTCTCTCTCTCTGTCACAAGCACACAAAGCAACAAACATCTGGGCTGATTTATGTGTCCGTAAGAAAAGACAGAAAGAAAAACGCTGACGTAATCCTGATAGAGACGAGAGAAAGACAGACAGACCAGGGAGTAAGACACGCACTCAGACACGTGCTGGGTGGATGATATGAGCTGTGTGCTGGCGGTGCAATCCATCAGAGGGAATAGGCTATCATGATGTCATACTGACACAGAGACCCTAATGCACCCTGGGAGTGAATGCATGTAATGCATGTAAGCAAACAGCGTGATGGGGGAAAGAGTCTGGGTGCACATCCAGGCAGGTTCCTCGCGGTGAGGTCATGGGTGATGTGCGACATTTGGGTCAAACACACCCACGTGTATGTGGAGTGAGTGGGCGAGGGCGAGCAGATGGCCGTTATTTTAGAGAGAGGAATTGGTCAACATCAGTTCACTGACATTAAAAATACGTCTCGAGTTTCCCCTACATGGACTTCGGGAACTGTGCATTAGCCCGTAGGTGTTCATGTCATGAAGCATTCCTGTTCGGTCTTCCCGAGAGGCATGATGCAATATCTAGCCCTCACAGTGCAATCTGAAAATGAGTCCAGATGCCAGAGTCCCACGCGGCCCAGTATAAAGTCTACTCTAGGCTCTAGGGTCCTGGAATTACCAAAATAATCGCACAAGTAACCAAACAGAGTGCTGCGCTGTTTTCCAAAGCCATCACACTACATTTCACTTGTTTTGAACGTGAAAACTCATCCGATTCTCTTCATCTCCTCCTCAGGGATCAGAACTCATGTGCTGAAATGAAGGATTGATCAGAATTGTAATCAAGGGAGTATTCCAAATATTTACACGCCGTATATCATCAACACTTAATTAAACCTGAAAACAAACTCTAAAGCCAGACTTTATTTCCAGCATGCCACTAAGACGATGGTAATCAAACACTTTTTCTAGTAGCTTATTTCACTATTTTAATTCTCCGCCTTATTTTACCGTTTACTTACTGCTTGCCTCTGCCCAATTTCCCTTCAGTTGCCTTTTATCAAAACGAAACCAACGCGGTAGCTAACAGATGACATCTGCACCGGTGAGTTCACCGTCGCTTTACCTGATCCGTGCTTGTAAAATATCTACCGTGTCCACGTCTTGTCTCTCTGCGTTTCTCTGCAAAATGCTATACCTGGGCAGCCCGTCTATATGTGGGAAACATGGACAGGCTTGTGAGACCATAAACTCTACCGAGTTTACCGAGAAGCAACCAGATGTGTACGATGCATGAAAATGAAAAATGCAATTTAAACTTTGCTGACAAGTCAGTCACATCGCCTGGCAGCATCACTCGTTTTTCATTTCCTCGTTACAAATCTGTCCACTGACCCAACAAGTCTAACTGAAGATAGTGAGTATAAGTGACTGATAATGTGCAGTATTTCAGATTTAGATTTTAAAAAATAACAGAAGATATACTATACTTGATGCTACAGACACATTAGTGTTTAAAACTCAGACCTTCTCTGTAAAGGAACGGAAGAAATAGCCTACAAACCACGGGAATGTATGAAAAGCTGCAGTACATAATAAATAAATAGGAGTATCCACGATGGGAGGGAAAATGAAAGAACATGTAGCATAGGTAAAATATTACATAAATTGTGCAGAGGCCTAAAAAGATGGAATGGGGCAGATGAGAGACAAAGAAATGGAAAAACACACCTGAGACTATTTGGTGTGGATTCTAAGTTTAACCCAAGGCAGACATCAAACTGAATTACCTCCTGCCAAAAGACAAATGCTGGTAAGCCTTGAGGATAGCTGGGAAATTGGACCACTCAAACAGTCACTCATGCAGAAAGCCATCATTTGGAGGTCCTAATATATTGCAAATCTCTTGTCGGCAACAGGAGCAATAAAGCAAAGGGAGAAGCGAGCCCTGTTGCAGCCAAACAAAAAGGTTAGTTTCCCACCACACAGAACAGAATGAACTTTAAAAGCTGCAATGGCCATTTTGCTGTCTAATTTGTTCAGTCAATCTCCTCAGGATCTAGGGGTGCTTTCCCGTGCTTTTCTTTCTCCTAAAAGGTTATGTTTCTCAGTGTAAGCATGGCCTGAGAGGCCAGAGCTTTTCTATGTGATAAAAGGTCGGGCAGTTGATCCACGCTGGATATGAGGTGAAGGTAGAAAAACAAAATAAATATCAGGCCAATCTCACGCTCAGCACAGCCTCAGTACATTCAGACACACAGACCCAATGCCATAGGCAGTCATTTTCTCTGGCACACAAACATGAACTTACTTTCTATGTAAGAACACTTGACTAATCAACTGAATGCAGACTTCTAATCTCCCAGACTCTCAGGTTTCTACCGCAGGGCTTTCCTGAAACAGTCCCAGCCAAAACAGCACAACAATAACAAAGACAGAGCCAAGCTTCATACCCCTAGAAGACGTAGACAACACCATGTCAACAAAAGGAAGCTGGTCTCAGCGTTCTGTAAAGAGCAAGCCGAGGAGACAAAGAAAAGGGTTTGTGTGTGTGTGACTTCCAGTGCCATATCAGTGTGTCCAACCTGCTTCCTCGTCCTGGTCCATGCCGATGGGCCCGGCCTGAGGGGTCTCGCCATTCTTCAAACAGTTGTGGATGTAGGTGGCCTTCCAGCGGGCGTACTTCCTGTGCTGGACGTTCTGGTAGAGGTTCAATAAGAGGGGAGAGAAACAAAAAAGGGGACTATCAGTTATTTTATAAGTTAGTTTCCAGGGAGAAAGGGTAATAAATTGTAGGTGATAGTTGGTGAGTAGTTAGGGGCTGGAGTAATTAGTAGGAATTTGATAATTGGTTGTGATTGGAAAGTGGGTATGTATGGGCAGGAAGCAGAGGTTAACAGGGTAAATGTAAGGGTCAGGTGGTGTATGTTGGTGATTTTGGGGTGTGTGGGTGATACGCCGTAGACATTAACTGGAAGCAAGTAAGAGACAAGAATAAGTCAAAGGGAATTAGTTGGTGGGGACAATAAGGTTGGTTTTTAGGGCATTAGAAATGCGATATTTGTTTTAAGTATAAGAAGAAGTCATTAGTGGTAGGAGAAAATGACACTAAGGAAAATGGTTGAGAAATGATTTGAGAAAGTGAGTTGGCCAGGGTTTAAAAGAAAAGTATTATTGGTTGGGGACATAAATATTTATCATGTGGGGTAGAGGTGAAAGTTCTTATGGACATTAGGATTAGACTAATTGTTAGGGGCAGGATGGAAGAAGAGGGGCTATAATTGGGTTAATAGATAATGGGTGAAAAAAATGACTTTAGGCTTGTATTGAAATGGGTTAGTATTAAGTTTTAGGAGCAGGGGTTGACAAAGGAAGGTCCTTATTATTAGCTGAAAACATTACGATTAGGCCAAGGATTTGAAAATGTGGGTATCATTTGTTGAAGAAATGAGCAGGTGTAGTAGGGGTAGTTAAGAGGAAAAAAAGTACGTGTTAGTTTTAGGGAATGTCATACTTTGGGTAATTGTTGGGTTCAGAGGTTAAAAGGGGAAAAGGGAGGTAACAATTGTTGGGGACATTAACAGTGAAGAAATCCTTTACGGCCACGACTGAAAAAAGGTACATATTAGGTCGAGTAAGTAAGGAGGTGATGTGTAAGTAAGTAGAGTAAGACGTAGTAAAAAGATACCACACAATGTGCGGTGAGTACTACAAACTCCACATGTCGGAGACAGAGGACATGGTAGACGAGAGCGAGACATTCTACCCGCAACCGCAAAAAGTTAGGTCGCCAGAGTGGGAGTTTTTCCAATTCCATAAAAAATAAATAAATAAATAAACAAAAAGACTGGTTGTTGGTGGACACCCCAGTCTGAAGGAAGTGCCATCAACAGTAACCACAAGTGGGGCAATACCACAAGCCTGTTCAGTGTTCACCCACCTTCGTCTCCATCATCCTGCAGATTTTGCTTCGGTAGAGAGAGCAGTTGCAGTTAGTTTGCTCGCCATGACACGGAAAACGTTTAGGTCACAGTAAGGTCTTAGCTAGTTGTGTTGTTAAGTTGTTTGGCTGTGATAATCGTGTAGTGAAAAATTTGGTACATTGAGAGGAGAAAGCAATTGGATTGGTTAAAAAAAGGAAACTGATATTCTGTAAGAATGTTAGTTGGTTGAAAAAGGTTAGTATTACTGGCTGAGAATATTAAAAACAGACACAGATCCTTTTGGACAGGGTTAAAAGGGCGGACATTGGATGTTTGGGCATTAAAGGAAGGTTGTTCAAATGCTCAGTGCCATTTGTTGAGAATTTTAAGGGTGGCAAAATCATTTTTGAAAGAAATCAAGGGGTATTTTAGTTGTTGGGGCATTAAAAGGGTGGATGGTGATGGGGCAGTGGATAAGACACATGCCTTTGGTGTGCGAGACCCGGGTTCAAATCCCTACTGTGACACGTCCTACAATGTGTCCCTGAGCAAGACACTTAACCCCTAGTTGCTCCAGAGGCGTGCGACCTCTGACATAAATAGCAAATATAAGATGCTTGGGATAAAAGTAAAATGTAAATTTAAAAGTAGCAGCATATGATGAGACATTCAATGTTGGGCAATGGGGGTAACGGTTGTAATGGGACAGTAAGCAGAGGTCGTAGGGGGTTACCTGGGGTAAAGGTGGTAAGGATACTTGAGAATGTGTTAAAGAGGCAGGATGTTTGAAAGAGGAAAAGTGTTGGAGAGGCTTGACAGAGATTGAAGAGTGACTAGAGAAATTCCTGCTGCCACCGGATGACATTTTTCAGCAGGTGCTAAGACACAATGGCATACTTCAGTGCTGAGGTCATTTCTGAGGTAAAGTTGTGCGAAAGAGCAGCTAAAGGTGCTCTTTTCCACTTTAAAATGACTTTGTTGAAATTATACCACACAATGGAAGGAAGGAAGTTTTTATGTGACCATTACATAAATTCAGGAGAGAGGTGATTCACTGAGATGATTTATTTAATCTTCCTAGACATGAAGGTTTCGGTTTCCCAAACTGTGCAGGTTCTTTCCAACTGCAGAATTTACCAGTTTACCATACAAATAAAACTAAGGCCTCCAGAACATCATTTGAATACATCACAAAACTATTGTATGCTATTCTGTCCGTGGTCCATCTGGCAGTTCATTAAAACATCAAAACAGTCCCACGACACAAAAAAAGAAGGCCACATGAGGAGAGAGATTAAAAGAGAGTACCTGAGCTTTAAGCAAGCCAGTTGCCTTTTGACTCAAGTGCATCCCTGCTGTGACTCTTGAGCTACACCCTGAGTAATGCTGGATTCTACAGGCTAAATCAATATTTAAAAAAGCTTTATAAACATGAATATGATACGTCAGTCAGTAATATTCTAAACATAAAATAAAATGACTGGAGTCGTCTCCCATCTCCACCAACAGACTCTATCCTCATTCTGTTCTGACGTGATTGTACATGGTCAATAATGTACAATGTTATTACATTTAATTGTATATAATGTGTTTTGATTCCAGCTTCTAAAATGTGAATATTTTCGGCTTCCTTTAATTCTCTGATGGTAAAAACTGAATCTTTGGTTTGTGGACAAATCAAGCCATTTGACAGCATACAGGAAACACATTTATTAGACCAAACAACTAATTCACAGATTAATCGGTTATGAAAATAATCGTTAGCTGCAGCCCTAGTAGAAATAAACTCTTCAGTGCTTGCTGGTGGTATGTATGTATTTATGTATGTAATATCTGATCTCATCTGTAATAAGATCAACTTCCCACCATAAAACATGAAAAATGTGGTTTATATAACAGATACCATAAATGAAGTGGAAACAGGTCTGTTCAATCTAACCTGCAGGATTTTAAATTTTCTATTTGGTGACAAAAGTTGGTTTAAAACATGATGAGTCTGAATTTGATTTATGCGTTTGATGCACATATTCGTTTGACTCCAGACAGTCTAGAGTTAAGATTCCAGAGGACCGTCAGAGCTAGTTGTCAGAGTGGGTTAGGTAAAGCTGACGTGGGTAAACACAGGCAGTTTACAGACATGTCGCCTTTACTCGGTTTGTCTACCTGTAAAGTCAAATGCTCTGTAAGGAGAGCAGACTTTAAAACGTCTGAATGTGGAACGTATGGCCTGACACTGTCAGGGCGCACTAACGCATGGTGGAAAACGATAATCACATTTGTAGGCAGCTAAGACTGATAAGAGACAGATGGTCAACACTGCCTTTGTCTGCCGTGACAGCCTGGGTGATGCAGATATGGCTTCCTGCTGAAACACAGTGCTGTTGACATGTTGCTGCCGTCCTCTGCCAGGCTCCAACCCCGGCAGGGTTAAGAGCTCTTTTTATTCAAAGAAGATTTCAGAGCCTGAGATTCTTTGGCAGAGCCGTCCTAGAAGGTCAAAAGGTCCGGAGGGAGGAGGAACGGTGTGCAGGTCGTCTCTGGTCTCTTGAGGCTGAAGCTTATGCTTGTGTTTAGCGTTCAGAGCGTAATTTGGGCAGTTTGTGGTGATGGTGCAGTGGATAAGACCCATGCCTTTTCCTACATTTAGTTAGAAATACTTTAACTGCTGTGTCAGCATGCTTTCTGGGGTTAAATTCACAATGAACATTTTTCTGTCACATGATTGAGTCCAAAACAGAAATTTCACTTGTTGCTCCAAAAGCAGAAAGGAAGAGACAAGAGTCAGTGTTTGCCGTCCTGTCTATGTCACAGATCTGCCAGCTGATTTGCACTCTTAATTCCCTTTAACAAGGTTGCAAAGGAACAAAATTAGACCATTTTATGCCCAGGATGCTGCTGAAATGCTGACACATAATCCGCGCTAATGCCGACGCGGGCTGTAGGCCTGCACGCCGCACACAGCGATGCACAGGCATCATTATCTGTAACCCCTAACCGTGAGCAACATTTAGAAATGAACATCAGATTTGACTGGAATATAATGAAAAACTACAGGCTGTGCTCGACCATTAAAGCGGCTTATAGGGAGTATAATGAAGAGACGGCGATAAAGATCGTTACACATTTAATAACAACCTGGATAAAGCCATCAAGTTCTTAAAATAACTCCAGCACAGAGAAATCTAATCAAAAATAAAACCCAGACAGTTTGGAAGGTTTTTAAAACATTCCCAGACGTGAGAGCTGCAGATCAGCTGCAGCTCTGTTCCACTTGTTTTGGAAAGGCGGAGGCCGACTTCAGCTCCGTGTAAAAACTTCCTGAATGATGAAAACTTGAAACAACAACTTTGGACCCAGTATTGAGCGTAACTCCATCAGCTGTTTGCTGCAAACACATCGCTGCGCGCTGGCTGCTGTTTCCCAGCAACACATTTAATGATTGTCATTTTAAAGTCCTTTACATCATCGAGCTCCCTCATATAGCAGCGACTGCCTCTCGTTTAGCGAACCAACCAGAACTCTCAGATCTTCCTCTGCCGTTCTTTTAGAAGTTCCTCGTGTTTCCCACAATTAATCAGGTGAAGCTGTTTATGGCCCTAAACTCCCCTGGACCTCACAGCAGACAGCTCCTTTAATTTGGGTTGACTCTGCAAGTATTAATTCCTTTTTTGTCTTGTTTTTTTCTGTTTTCAAACTGTTCCTGTTTGCCTTTGCTATTTCTTATGGATATATTTTTACCTATTGTAATTGTAATCCTGTTTTGTTTAGCACTTTGCATGAAATGTGCTCTACTACTACTAAAGCTGTTTTTTAAAAGTATTAAACAGCGTAGAAGTGGTCCCGCCTTTGTCATCAGGACTCCAGTGGTTTTGAAAAACCTTTCTGCGGAGAACGGGCCACCCAAATCCCTCGTCTTTGAAATGAACGATCAAAACTTGTTACAGCCTTTTATTATTATTGTTGTTATGACCCTAAAATTGTCCTTCGGTGTGGATGTAAGTGTGACTGGTTGTTTGTCTGTGTGGCCCTGCGATGGACTGGCGACCTGTCCAGGGTGGACCCCGCCTTTCGCCCCATGTCAGCTGGGATTGGCTCCAGCCCCCCCCTGCGACCCTGTACGCAGGATAAGCGGCTGAAGATGGATGGAGTCGCTTCATGAGGGTGAATTTTGTCTTGAACCTGGTTCCTCCTCCTCTCTACACCACAGTGCAGCCCAGAGGGAGAGCAGTCAGTGGGCGAAAGGCTTCCTGACAGCGTTACAGAACACTCTGCCAGCTCGCCTGATCACTGACTCCACTCAGCTCGGCCGGGAAGCTGCTGAAAACCTCTTTTTACTGCCTGAAACTCAATCACTCCTGACTGTCTGTCTGCAGAGCACTCACCGCCGGCCACTCTGAGGACTCTTTGTCTGATGGCGGACTCAGCGTGTATGTGTGTGTGTGTGTGTGTGTGTCCATCAGGCCTCACTCCAGCTGACTGGACGGACGCAAGTGTCCTGTTGATGTTTTAATGGCTTCTGGGTGACTTTTACACCAGGTGGAGAAAGAGCCGCTGTGTGTCACGCATTCATATGGAGATGGATAGGTGTGTGTCCTTGTGTGTGCGTGTGTTTGTGTGTGTGTTACACAACCTCTGAAAAACACATCACCTCCTGGCACTTTCCACGATACAAGAGTCCCTACTCGTGTTTCTCGATGCTTGTACACGGTAAATAGTAAACGGACTTGACATGTAGTGTAAAGCACTCAAAGCGCTTTACACTACATGTCACCTCATTCGCACACATTCATGCACAACGGGAACACCACCGATTTCACACAGTTCTGCTGTACATGTTTTAAAAAGCTGCGTGACGCCTTTAGTGTCTGCAGAGAGTAGGGGTGCGAATCTCTGGGCGTCTCATGATTCCATTACGACTCAGAGGGCTGCGATTATTATTATTATTATTATTATTACTACAACGATTATCGATGCATCTTTTTTTTTTTTTACGCAGGATCTCTGGATAATTACTAAGCATTTAATTTGCACATTAAAATCCTAATTAGCTTGAAAGGACAAGTCCCTAATTGACTTCATTAACCTCATCTCCATGGTCACCACCTTCATTTCTTTAACGACCGGTCGTCAGACTCTGAAAACTGAAATATAATTACCAGGATGTTCAGTGTGTTTACAGGACAGAGCTGTACACCAGTTTAGTCTAAGCTTGTTCCTGATGTTCTCAACGCTTGTAGGTTTGAACTAGGGCTGAACGATTAACCGTTGTAAATTCAAAATTGCGATTTGAAAGAACGCGATCAACTAATTGTGACGACGGCGGTTAAAATGTAGGTTAGTCATGCAGCGCATCTGACCTGTTTTACAGCTACAGATTCAGTCCGTTGTCGTCCTTGTGTGGCAGATCTGCTCGCCAATCACAAGCGGCACGCGCCTCCAGTTACGGTCCTACTCAGCAATCAGAGCGGGCACAGGGCGTGTGCATTTCAACAAACGAAGCTAGAGGAGAACGTGGGATAATGGCGCCTGCTGAACAGACACAACTCACACTGAAGTGTTTCTGCAGCGGAGCGTTTAGCCTACACCTCGTTAACGTGTTGTCAATTTGTCGTTCTGTGTGCAGCTCTCTGAGAGCTCGTTTTGAGTTTTAGTTTCAGTCTAAAAGACACAGATGCAGAATGAGCATCAGTCTTAGACAACACAGACTAAATAAAGCCAGCTGAATCCTTTAACAAAGGATCTGCTTTCCTGCCTTAATCTGAGGTTTTCACTTCAGAGAGTTTGCAAACAGTTTGCAGGGATCAAACTGGTGATTCCCACCAGGGCCTTTATCTTACCTCCTCCGACAACTCCCCGAACACAGACACGACATCCAGCAGCAAACTGGCAGAGTAGAAAGATTTGATCATGTTCCTGCAGAAAGAGAGGAGGCGGAGGAGGACAAGGAATGTAGAAGGAGGGTTTAGGAATTAGGAGGGATATGAGAAGTTACAGAGGGAGAGAGAGGAAAAACAAACTATTAGTTCAATGTTTCATTGAGTTCAACCTGCAGGAGAAAGGTTCTTTCTCTCTCCCCACTTCCAATAAAACCACATTACAGATGAGGGCTAAACTCTACTTTCAAAAATCAACATTAAAAACAGATCCAGTAGCAAAGAAATGTCTCACTGACAAGCCCAAATGTGAAGTGAGGATCACTATTTGTTCTTCAGGAAACAAAGTGGATTTAATGACTTACTGACCTTTAATAAGAAGAATCTACTTTAACAATCAATTAACTGTAACACAACCTTAAAGACCTGGAAAACAGGGATCAGGATCATTCAGTCACCTCTGATTTAATGCAACCCTGAAAAGTTTCACATCTTTCGATATCGATAATTATCACGATAAGGATCAAATCTTTATTTCTTTCGAGTTTAAAGGCAGATTTTTGCAGCTGAGGAAAAGTTGAAGAAACCTGATGGTTAATTGTGGTTTAAACTCGTCTTTACGGTCAGAACAAACACTTGATGCCAAACAGTGGATCACTTCACAAATCTGAGGCAGAACATTCAAAACTATTGTGATAAAATCTTTGTCAACCAATATGTACGAGTAAAATTACTGTTTTATTGTCCAGCTCCAATTAAAATATACGGATGTTACATCTGGGATAAAGACAGCACTGGTGTTTGGAGTGAGAAAGAGGTGAATTGATGCATCTCTACTGGAAAAAAAACAACAACATCTGAGATACATCTGGACATTACCAGAACAAATTCATTATTATTAAATCAAATATAATATAATATGATATTGATTAATTTCCCTGTTCTATCCTATAGCCAATGGTCGTACAGCAGCTGTGCAAACTGTCAGTGATCCAATACATGAGTTTAAACTGCAGCCACAGCCCAGATTTACCGGCACCAGGTAAAAGGCGACTTCCCATCACGCCACACAGACACACACACACAGTTAAGGCAGGGATATGAATGGGTTCCTTGTAGCAGAGTGTTCGAGTTTCCCATAACCATTCACCTCTGTGCCTCGACGTGTTTGTGTGTCCTGAACATGTGTGCTGCAGCTTGTTTTTCTGTTTAAGTATCTGTGCCTGTGTATATGCTGTCTCTATTTTTCTGTCCGAATGTAGGCCTGCTTCCTGTAAAACCACAGGCTGTTTGTGTTCCCTCTTCGGCGGAACAGAAGTATTACCCAATCCTGCTTAATATACCTGCTGCAAACAGAGAGCTTCTGATTGCTTATTTACACCGCAAACAAGTCGCCTGCGTCCGTTCATCCTCCACGAGCTGCTCACGCTGACAGGAAGAGAAACTAACGCTCCTGTTGATCCCGGAGTTTATTGGGTCATTTCAAGAGTTCATGAGGGAGAAACTCAGAGTCTCAAACCCCCACATGTTGTTTAACCTGGACTTAATCGCCACTGCTCGCAAATCTGGTGAACTCAAAGCTGCAGAGATACAACGCAAAATCGGACCTGCTAGAAATACATCCCAGAGCCAGATCGCTGATCATTCGGGTGATCGATCAGACGCCGTAACTTCTCCAACTGCACGACAAACAGCAACCGATCTCACAGCAGTTCCTCCCAATTCTTTTTTTCCTTTTCAGAGCACTCTGAATCCAGTTCGTTCCATTCTCTGCAGCGTTTCCGGAGCTGATTTTTATATTTCCGAATATGTGAAACAACGTCTTCCTGTCGTTGAAAGCTAAACTCTAAAACTTCCAAAGTCTGAACAACATACGACGCAGAAACATTTGAAATGATGAAGGCACTTCAGGTCATACAAAATGTCAACCGTACTTTGGTGTTTTTCTCTAAGGTTTAAATTAAACTCAATGAACCAATACAAAGTGGAAGATCTTGAGTAGATAACTGGTTTTAAACCTCTCTAAACTAAAAACAAATCAGCACTATTATTCAGCTTGTTTACTAAATATTTAGTCCATGCTGATCCATCCATAAAGTGGATAATCTTTGGATAGATGGCAAACAGGGTTGGGCCAATGTCGAGGCGGCATTGTGAGTCTAACCACCTCCCCCCCTCTCTGCCTCTGACCTTCTCCGTCAGCAGTATGTTTTATAAAGTCGCCCAAAGTTGACAAAGAACTCGTCAGTTTTCCTCCCGCAATCCGTTATCGCAGCAGCAGGTGAGCCGCACGCCGGCTTGTTAATGGCGTAGTCTATCAAACAATTGAAACCAATATTTGCACCAGGTGTTCACTGTTGCTGTACCTGGTCCGTGCTTGTAAAATGTCCACCGTTTCCGCAACTTGTAACATGCACAAATAAAACTGTAACAAATGTGTAACAAATAAAACGGAAATCCTACAATTAAAAAGATATAACCATAAACATTTAAAAGTGATTGCTGTGTTCGGCTTCCCAAAAGGCAAAACAATTAAGACAAAGGCACATTTCAAAAGGCAGATGTAGCACCTTCAGGCAAGAACCAGAAGTGACAAAATGGCAACCGCAACAACTAACTTGCACAAATTATTTATTAACCGATACTCCGGATTTGAGTAAATAGACTTAAATCAGGTTCCGCTCCATAGAAAGACGCCGCCTCATTTTAGTCCTCCTGATCATGCCTCTGACTTCAGTGGGGATATTTAGAGGAAATATCAGTCAAGCTTAAGAAAACAGAAAAAGGTAAAAGGATAAACATGGAGGATGTGGTGTTACCATGTGAAAGACACAAGGACTCCCCAGATATTTCCTGTCAGGAAAAGAGCCCACAGAAACTCCACATATCATATTCCAGCTGATAAGAGGAAAGAAAGGAATGCACCGGGGGGGATCGTCCAGTGAAACTAAACTTTCATCCAACGTGCCCAATTACTTAAATCTGGTTTCTTGCAGGCCTGCGTCTTTAAATATGACGACTCGACTAATCTGTGAGAGAGCCCTGATGGATTCATTAATGACCGGTCAAAGACAGATGAATTATTGAAAGTGCTGAAATATTAAAAAACTAAATCTGATTTGGGCCTACAGGTCAACAATCAAATCATTTTGCTTAAACGCTTCCCTTTCCTCCTGGTTTCCCTCAGCGCTTACTCATTTCTGTGGAAGGGAAGTGAAGAAAGTGAAGGAAACTATTGGCATTTCCCGTTTCCATCATTTCAATCGTGCACTGTTAACACTCCTGCTTTCAGTCAATACCTGTGAAAGCGCTCTTATCACGCTCACATGTAAGCACACACACATTCATATTAAATCAACAGGCTGCTCGCACGCTGGCGGAGGTGGCTTCCTGACCTAAACCCTGTAGACGGAGCAAACATTTCCTCTTCTCTGGAAGGCGAAGTGTCCGGCTGAACGGACTGAGCCAAATGTGTGATTCTGGGCTATGAAAATAAAATAATTGACCCAAAAGATTTGAGAAGCACGTTTTAATTTCCTCGACTTGTCTGAAGAAATCTGGGTGAAGAAATCGGTGCAGACGAGTGAGAGAATGAAAAGCAGGGTGTTAAAGTTAAAGGTTTATGAGTGCGTTGAATGCGAGAAGAGGAGCTCTACAGCGCCAACACTGAGCAGCAGGTGTGGACACGCAGACGTCCGACGCGTTCCTTACTTGTGGAATCGGCCTGATCGGTCCTCGTTGTCGGCGTAGAGGAAGAGCTTTAAGGCGTAGTTTTCGATGTGGGCGTTACCGACCACCTCCTGAGTGATGGAGTCGTTGTCACTCAGCTCCTTCTTCATCTGGAAGACAAAAAACAAACACACTCAGAGACGAGTCATCGCGCAAGAATTCACGAGCCAAATAAGTACATGTAATGTAACGAACCAGCGAGGAGATTGAACAATATGGGAATAAATAAGATCCAACTTCATGAAAATAAAAATACACATTTTGTTACTTACAAAGAAAACAGACTTCTGGTTTCTCAGTGATGCTTAAACATTTTAACTCCCTTTGCTTTGCATGTATTTTCTCTACCTGTAATTACATTAAACTCTCTCTCTCTCTCTCTCTCTCTCTCTCTCTCTCTCCACACCAGACTCCAACAGGGCTTCAGGTTTCTTGTAAAACCACTAACGCAAACCCGCTGGTTCCCTACAGCAGGTGGACCCTGAACAGCCTGAATAGATTCACTGTTCACTGGCTTAATCAATCGCTGTGTGCAGGTGTGTGCAGGTGTGTGCAGGTGTGTGCAGGTGTGTGCGGCGGAGGAATGTAAAACCACTGGGCTGAGTGCAGAATGAAGGAAGGACAACTGGTCGGGCAAAATAAAGGATCTGGGATCAAAGGAAACTCACTTCCCCGAACAGCATCTCACAGGCTCCGTCTCACTCTTACAGTCCATCCGACTGTTAACCAAACCACAGGGAACTACATGAATTTCAGCAACTTTAAATGTAAATGTGTTTTATTTTTATATAGTGGAAAGATAAAAGTATTTTAAAATAGTGAAACAGACTGATTAATTGGCTGATATCTGGCATTTTGAGATAATCTTTAATTTTGAGAATAGCACGAGCCATTAGCAGAACTACATGGTCCAAATCATCTTGCGTCCCCTGACCTTCTCTCCTGCTTACCGTCTCTTATTTTCTCAGCTAGTTTCTCTCAATCTGAAGTCCAACACGAACGTTTTCTGGTTATTCAGAAAGAGATATTTCTGTGCTTGTGTCATGTGCTTCTGTGCACTAATCAATATTTGAAAATCAAAATGTGATGGCCAAGCCACTGTCAATCAAACCCGATCAATGCACATCCACACAGACCTGTTTTTGGACTATTAAACTAAACAATAAAACAGAATGTTTCAACCCCCAAACTCTGCTTGTTGCTTATTTCGTTTAACGTTACAGAGAAATGCGTTTTAACAAAGCAGCGCTGAGTCAGGTTATGAGCTGAGGAAGCAAAACAGAACGCAGCAGGTGCTGTTGAATAATTAACAGCTTGAATCACAGCAGCAAGAAGTGTTTGACAGCTAGACGTCATTATAAAGAGAAATCTTCATCAAACATCCCAGTCACAAGCAGGGCTGCGACGAATCTGCCAACTATTTTCACGATTAATTGACTTAAAAGTCTATAAAATGTCAAGAAATTGTGAAAAATGCTCATCACAATTTTCCAGAGCCCAAAGTGACGTCTTCAAATTGCTTCTTTGGTCCAACCAACAGTCCAAAACCGACAGACTCTTCATTTACTATCATAAGTGACAAAGAGTAGCAGCAGTTCCTCAATTTAAGAAGATGAAACCAGCAAATCTTTCACATTTTTGCATTGTTTTAATTTTTTTATTTAATTTTCTTTCGACCGACTAATCGAATAATCGACTTGCAGCTCAAGTCACAACGCCACACATTCATTGACAGGCTATTAAAAGAACATGCAAATATATTTTTAGACCACTGCCTCTGACAAACCTCTAAATTTAGCAGCATCTGATTTTAAAGCAAGTGATTTTCCACCGTCCCAGTGAGAGCGAGGCCTCGCCGAGTTGAAAATATGGTGGAAAATATAATCGAGTCCTGCATGTGTTGTAGGTATGAGTCAGGTCATCAGGGAAAGAGAGAGCAGAGAGGCTGCTTGTGTCCTGACTCACTCTGCAGAAATGAGTCACAACTACCAGTGACAGTTCATTAAGAAGTGGACCACATAAAACAGTAAACCTCAGGGTGTCCCCGTGTTTCAGGAAGCGGCACTGACAGAAAACTTTTCAGACAAAATGTTTTACAGCAAAACGTGTCGCTCGCTTGGCCTCCTTCAAGACAATATTTAACATTGCCTACAAAATAAAAGCGTGAGAATATTTGTTGCAGTAATGCAAACGAGTCCGACTTTATTTAGCATGAAAATAATAATTCAGCTACATTATCTTTAAATCTGGCACTCGGCGTCCATGGTGAAAAAGCTCAAACCCTTCACCATCTAATAATTTAACTCACTACAGCCGATCGAACACACGTGACTCAATACACCTCGTCGGCGGTTAGAAAGTTTTCTATTCAGTCAAACAGGCTCTGTTGTAAAGCTGTTTACAATAAACCGCACACAATGGATATTTTCTTTCTTCTTTGTTCTGTCATTTATTATTTCATTACTTTTCCTGATGTTTTAGATTTTTGCCGTGGGATCGTTTCAGTATCGGCATCGTTGATATTTAGATATTGTCGTCTGTGTTTATGCTGCTGACTTATGAAGGTCTTCTTGTGTCTTGTGTTTTGAGATCTTACTTTTTTTTTTGTCCCAAAAAGTTTTAATTGCTATCATGTCATATTATTTGAATGCAAGTCAAATGGTTTTCCTTGCGAGTCAGAAAGTTTTGCAGGTTAAACCGTGAGAGAGTTTTACGAGTCAAAAATGGCCAACATAAGAGATTCTCTGCCCTTGTTTGGGAGCATTTTTGGTTTAGTCCTGATGATAAAGGTTCATTATTCTATGAGCCACAAGTATTTAAACCCTGCAAGCCTTGTGTAAGGAGGCTAACTGCATATTAGACACAGCATTGTAGGCTAGACAACGGCGTTTTTCTTTTCTTTACACAGATACTGCCATATAAACCGTCCACCCCGGTGAAATGTCAGGACGGTTTGAAGCCTACTCTGAGCACAAAGACACTCCAACACCAGCAGCAGCTAACAGGATCACACGCATCAAAGCGGCGGATGCGAGTCCTGTTGCGAGAGGCCTCCTGAGTGCGTGACAGTAATGAAGATCCCTGGAGGGCTCCAGGTGTTTGCATGTTGTCCTTAATTGGCTCCGAGTGATCAATAAAACGAGTCCAGCATTGCTGCGGGATTTCCAACCTCCCCTACAGGAAAACCCCCTCCTCCTCCTCCTCCTCCTCTCTCACCACTATGGGACCGATTTGTTAAACACGGAGGTGGAGCATTGTCTGAAATATTTCTCCTCAGCGTTTCAGCAAAGTATCTCCTTCGACGTGTACAGCAGGCCGGGCGCCACAGGAGAGAAATGACTTGTCCTGTGCAGCTCCGTCACCTCTCCTTCTGTTCCTTTCAGTCCCGAGATAAAAGGCTCATTTGTTTGACCCCCATTGGGACTCCGAGCCCGTTCACCTCCACTCGTCTCATCTCACCTCCTCCCTCTTCCCCTCCTCACCATAACAACTCTATAAAATCTAATTACTGTGGCCCCTGTTGACAATCCAGACAGTAAATGTGTGTCAGATGAAAGCCGGGGCCTCGCCACAGCGCTGTAACCTGATAGGTCGGTGCAGTGTTTGCAAACCCAAACAGCTCTACTGGATACAGCGTCAGCGTCAAGAGAACGTGTAAAATGAACAGAAGTGCGACAGCAAGATTAGCAGTATTTGTTGTGTTTGTACCTACTTATTTAAAATATATATTATTATTATTATAGAATATATATTCCCATTCTGAGTATCTTATGGTGTTTAATTCAGCTCAAAACCTGTGCACATAAAAGCCAAGGGTGCACATGAGTGACACGAGCACGCAGGACAGCGTCTACTGTTCAAAAGGACCTGCTCTTAACCATGAAGGTGATCTTTCCCTTAACTTTACCCCCGGGCTTGGCAATAAATCAATAATGATAATTAAGGCAATATAATTTTCCTCAATAAGAATATAACAAAGATTCAATATATCGTCAATAAATGTTTGATTTAATTCATTTGAAGCACTTAAATGAAATCAAATGAATAAAAAAATAAAAAAAGATTTGTTCAGCGATCCACTACTTGGCGAGCGTTTGTCGTGTTCTGACCATAAAGAAGTAACCACTTTTAACTTGGAAGAAATAATAATGTGTCATTTATCGTGATAATTATCGATAGGTATGAAATTTTATATCGCCCAGCTCTACCTTTACCAGACCTTAACCACGGAGGTGGTAGATCAGAAATAGATTTTGGTAACAGTAGGAGGCAAGAAACTGTGACTTTTATAATAATAACTAACGTGAATGAAGCTCTTGCTTTCGCAAACTGACTGCAGCATTTTATTTTCTGTGGAACCAAACCTCGCCACCACATTGACGTACGTTGTTAACTAGTCATTTCATTTTGCCTCCTACAGTAAAAGGCCTACGTTCTGCCTGAGCCGCGGTTAGGTTCAAACTTCTGAAACTGTTTGTTTTTGCATGTCAGAAATGTTTTTCTTTAAAGACCAGAATGTAATGCGGCGCTTAGATGCACTAAATGTGTTTAGTTTTGACAGATAATATTCATGTCTGCAATTTAAGCAATAAAATGAAGATTTTTCTAAAAAAGAAACCAATTAGTTGTTAATTTTTAGAGACCTGTCTTATTTTCTGGTTTGCATACTGACTATATTTTTTCTTCATGATTTATTAGTAGAATACTCAATCGCTAAATTAATCAATAGCTGCAGCCCAAGTTGAAAACAGGTGCCAGTATCATGTTGTGTGTTATCCATGTGATACTCAGCGCACAACTGATGTTTTCATATTTCATATTCAGAATACCAGGAAATAACACGTGTTCAAAAACCAAAAGGACCTGCTTTGGTATCGATCACACTTTGCGACGTGCTCTTTATTGATCACTGCAAAGCAAAAGTACGATGTGATCGATCTGAGCCACCAAATCCTGAAACATCTCATCTTGTTATCGGTGTAATTTGTAGGTCGGCAATAGGCCTTAAGTGACTGTGCCTACAAAATGAAAGCGCGAGATGTTTTTGCAGCAGTACTTTATGTCCTGTTTAATTGAGACCTGGCTTGCTTGATACACCTCTGAAAAAGCCATCAGACAGCGTGACGTCGGATTCCCCTGAATGAGAAATGGTTGCTGTGGACCACTCGCCGGGACGCACACACTCCTGCACATGCTTCATTGTGCTTGATGTAAAAAGATCTCTTCATAATCAATTTGTTGGAAACGTAGAAAAAAAAAATACTAGCTGCAAGCGGGGATCGAACACACAACCCCTCGAACGGGAGTCCTGTGCACTACTGACTGAGCAGAGGAGGCACATGCTGAATTATGGATCAGAAATAATCAATTGACGATGTTCTGGCCCGCCATCTAATGACTAGAAGAAAATCTGGCCCGATGCCAGACTTATTTGCCGAACCCTGTTCTAGATGAAGGTCGTAACCGTCACCTTGCTCATTAAATACGAGGAAGGTCACAGTGAGCTTTGACCGCTAAACTCCCATCAGTTCATCCTCGTGTCCATGTGGACGTTTGTGCCATTTGGACACAACCCGATAACTGCCGGCGCGGAGGCATAGAAATAACCTGATCTTCCAGAAGGCTTTTTGTCCGTCATCGCTTACAACAGCTCACACAGCTGAGACTTTGTCTGACTCACACAGAGCTTTAGATCAATGATCACAGTATGTGTGCTGCACTGAAAGAGACAGAGAGCAAACAAGATGTGTTAAATTCTTGGAGACTTACTTTGATTTAACCATTTTTATTTAATAAAAGGAAAAAAAAAGAAACTATTGTCCTTTTTTGCCTGGTAACAAACTATAATCTGGAGCCCTCGTTCAAGTTACCTTCCTGTTCTGTGGTAAATCCAACCTGATAAGACCAACAGGCAAATCTCAAGCCTTTTAGGTGTGTGCGTTTCTGTGTGTATTCATTACATCGGGCCCTAGCATTAGAGCTCTGCAGTGTGTTTCGTAAGAAAGAAGCCATTCATCCATGCGGTTCTGTGGTAAAGGTGCCTCTGCAGACAGCCATCCAGCAGCTTTTTTCACTTTATAAAGCCATACCTCTGTTCAGTCCACTGATGTATGCAGTAACAAAGGCTGTCAGCTGAAATTGGAGCTCTTCAGTAGGCCATATATACAGTATATATATATATATATATATGTCACCTGAAACTCTGTGTAATGTATATAAGTGATTAGGAAACTGAGCGAGAGCGTTACCAAACCTTCATCCAGTTTCTCTAAAGACCTCTCTTCTTAAAAAGTATTTGAATCTCCTTCTAGCTACTAGCTTTTTAACTGGACACACTGGTGTGGTGTTCTCACATCTGCGATATATATACACCGATGAGCCATAACATTTTGTCCACCTGCTCCCCTTTGCCACCAAAACAGTCCTGAGTCCTCTTCAGCAGTCTGACCTACAGCAGCTCGTCTGTTGGATCTGTTCGATCCCTTCGCTCCCCACGTGCGTCAATGAGCCTCGGCCGCCGCCGACCGTGTCCCCGGTTCCCTTGGACCACTTCTGACAGGTACTGGTCGTCTAGCCATCACACTTTGGTCCTTGTCTCTAAGTCGCTCGAATCCTCACGCTGCCCATTTTTCCTGCTTCCAACACATCAGCTATGGGGACACAATGTTCACCTGCTGCCTGATAGATCCCACCCACTGACAGGTGTCACGGTTATTCACTATATTCACTGGTCGTAATGTTATGGCTGATCGGTGGATTTAAAATAAAGCTGAAACTTGTGTAACTTTTACAAACGCTGGGCAATAAACAATAATTATTTTTAATAAGCTGATAATCTATATACCACTACTAAAACAGTGACTGTCTTTTTGTGGCCCAGCCCTACTAGAGGACCCCAGCCAGGGAGAAACAGCACCTGAAGTCTGGCTAACTTACCGTCTCCAGCTGGTCCATGAGTTTGACCAGGAACTTTCGGCACTCTGGTGTTTTGCTGTCCAGCTTCATGCCTGTCTGCATAGCATAGAGTCGACCTGCAGGAGAGGACAGGAGAGGACAGGAGGGGGGGGGTGAAAGGTGAAGAGAATTAAATATCTTTTTACTGCTCAGTAAAGTCCATCCCTCTACAGCCTACAGCGTCCTGATGAATCTTTCTCCACAACGCTGCCCCATGACAGGCCGCGCATGTTTTCTTCTCCTCTGCATGGGATCCAACACAAAACCACACCGGACGGAGGTGAGAAAGATTTCCACCTGAGCCACCCCAAGCCTGATGGTGAAGAGCAGACTTTCTGTCAGAACTCCAACTCCCACAATCCCTCGTCTGTCAATTAGTTCTGCAGTCAGATGATGAAACGCCTTAAACTTTACAGCTAGATGATCTGCGCAGCAGCAGAAAGCGTCTGTCTGTGTTTGTAACACGGGGAGATTATAGAGTTGGCTGATAGGTTCAACTTTCCCAACCGGCCACCATCAGCCCCAAAACAGATGATTGCTAATATACTGGTGCAGCGGGTGTGCGGCTTTAAAATTATAATAATATTATATATCTTTGCAAATATCTGAAAATGCTTCCAACATGCAGCCCTCATGTCACCAGTTCTGAAAGGCTCGATTACAGGGGGGCAAATCTGATTTTAACAACCTTCAGAGAGGACATTTCCTCCGGTCTGTCTGACTGTCAAGACTTCGGTTTTAGGGTTTGAGGTGAGAATAAGTTTTTATACTTCAAGTCTACGCCGTGGCCTACAGTAAACACTGTCACGCTAAATTTATTTCGAGTAATAATCATCAGGCTTGAATTCGACCTTGTTTCACTCCCAAGTCATGGCGGTGAGGTTTCGATGTTCCACTGCGTTAACGTCCCCGGCTGTCTAACTTTGTTTAGTCCTCCGCTGACTGAACGGGGGTTAAATAATAATCGCAGGCTCTTCTAGACTTTTCAAACGCTACTGGACCGAACGGATCAAATTCATTTTGCAGGGGTTGTAGGTTTGGCACTTCCTGAAAGCGATGCTGTCTCGCAGACCAGTCACACTTCTTGCGGTCTGTGTCTCAGTGACATGTAGTGAAATTTCTGGGTAGGTGCGTGTCAGGCCAGAAATATTTCAAGCCAAGGTTGTGGTTGGGTTAGTTTGAGGGTCCTCACGTTAAACTGAATATTCTCCATCACTGATCGAATTTTTAAACGATTACGGACAAATCTGAAGGGCGCTCTATCATGTTGACAGATTAAACGAAGGGCGCTCTATCGTAACATTAAGTCATTCACATGCAACCCCCCCCCCGACCAGAGTAACATCCTCGATGTCCAGCTGGCATCGCAGCAAGGAGGTAACTCCTTCATCTGCCCTTACAGCTACGTGCGTCATCTGTAAGTTAAACTGTATTTTAAATGTTACTGTGATCTAGTTGTTTTTTGAAAATTAAGAGCCATTAACTCTGTTACATGTCTCATTATCATAAAAAAAATTATTAACGGGTGTTACGGCTGCCGAGGGCAGCCGTCTGTGTGTCACTGCTGCTGTGTTTCTCCCCGCATGTGTTACACTGTGAGGCGGGGGATTGGCTGGACTTCGGCAAGCCTTGTTGATCCCGCCTCCCACCTCCGACGATTCTGATTGGAGCGCACACCACCCTTTCTCCAATCGCCAAGCTGCCTGCAGGACCGCCTTTGTGCCTTCCCCCTCAAATAGGCTGGTCTGCTGCTGATTCGGGGCAGCTACCTTTTGCCATGTGGTTTGCCCTGACGCTGGTCCTAACCTTGAACTCTGTGTGTGCGCGTATCCTCAGCAACAGCTTCTGTGTTTGTGAGATCTGTGTGTTACTGAGAGTTGGTAACTCACCTGGGCTGATCCCAGTAGGTGGTCTACAGACTTGGGCTAGGGGAAGCTCGTTCACTGATTACCCACACCAGTTAGTTAAATACTTGTTTAGTGACACTAGGTTTAGGGCTGCTGCGCTCCCTGTGTTTTTTCCACTTCTGAACAACGGCTAGAGAGGTTTTTGTTTATCTTTTTTCAAGTAGTTTAGTAATCCCCCACGTAGGAGGGATCTCTTTTTGTTATATTTGGTTCTTTGTTTTACGCAGCACCCACTTGCCCATTTTCTGTTTGACTATTTTGTGTGTATCAGACTGCTTAATAAATAATCTTTCCACCCATACCAAATCCATCTGGTTTATGTTTACGTCCCTCCTACCCCTAGACAGCGGGGACGTAACAACGGGTAATAATTAAGATTATGACGGACAACGAGAAAGTCAAACGCAACCTGTGGACCTCACAAGTGTAGAAGTACAAATACGTGAAAGCCTTTTTGTGTGCTGTGGGATTATGCAGCGCAAACATGTAAGAAAGATCTATTCTACACACACAACAAGATGCACACACACACGCGCACACACACACACACACACACACACACAGCTTCCCTCTTCAACAGCAAAAATTATCAATGGGTTGTTATAGTGGAATAAAAACTTCCAGTAGCACTAAATCAGCATGTCAGCCAGGTACACACACACACACACACACACACACACACACACACAGGTGAGTATGAGTTGTGTGTGTGTGTGTGTGTGTGTGTGTGTGTGTGTGTGTGTGTGTGTGTGTGTGTGTGTTACACCCTTAACAGGCAGAATGTGCTTTGTGCAGCAAAGCCACGTCAGCGCTGCACATCGGTCTGAGGCGAGGGGAAACGTCCTTAGACTCTTGTCCCTGCAGTCAGAGAGGATGCTGGGAGGATTATCAGCTTGCGTGGAGACACATTACATTACCTCAACAGTTTACTTGTTACAGCTCGCCGTGTGTGTCCAGCCAATAACGGACGTCTCCGCCTTGCCTGAAAAGTGCTCCACTAAGGCTCAGACTTTATGACGTTTTAAAATAAACTTCACTGGATCTCATGAGGAAATCTGCTGGGATCTCTTGCCAAAAATAAAACAGCATGAGCAAATACTTTCTGTTTATTATTGCTGGGTGGAAAAACAAAATAAACATTAGATTGTTTGGAAGAAAATGTAAATTTCTGTTGACTTGTTCAGAGTAAGGCAGTAAGCTTCAACCATCTGCTGCAGCAACAGGAGACAAATTATTTCCAGTTATTTGTGAGCTGCTTTCACACCCAGGTTTGTCACATGGTTAGAGTCCGTTACCAGGCCACTGTGCACGGTAGGCCCTCTGTTTCCACCTCATGTTTAGTGTTTGAGTCACAGCACGGCGTCGCTGTCCTGCACAACATCCACAGAACAATGTCCCATTTCAACGACGGGGAGTCACCGCCAAGCCCCCGTACCGCTCAAGATTTCCAAAAGAACACCAGTTACACACATGTATGCGTGTAGTCATGTGGACGCTAACCAGAGCGCAGAGAGTCCTCAGCTACCGAAGCGGCCAGTTAGCCGGTCACCAAGTGACAAAGAAACCCTTTGTGCCGTTACACCCATACAGGCAACATTCACACACAGAAGGCTTTGACAGCAGAGAGGATGTAAGGCCACAGAAACTGAACAACTACAGCCAAGACTGACCTGCCCCCCTCTCAGACTTTCAGATGTGCTCCCTGCCCAAAGCCGGAGCCCTCCTGTGGTCACTAAAAGGTACTGTGGGTTTATTTTCATTGCTCAGTTCTCACTAAAATCTGTTTTGTATAACAAACATTTGCACATTCTTGTATTCTTGCATTGTCTGCAATAGTTTCCAGAGTCTGGCTTAGCTTCGACACAGCAAAATGCAACAGCTGCAGTAAGGAGGTTTGGTGCGAGGGAGGAAGCAGCTCCGACACGACGAAGCGTTTCCTTCAGATTCACGCCGTGTTCAACGTGTATGACGCCCCAGATCCACGCTACGCTAACAGTAGCAACAAAACACAGGTGAGCCGACGTTCAGCTTTTATACTGAAGGGAAACCAACGACGGCTACAAAGGAGACGAGTCCCCAGAGACGCCGCTCTAGGACAGAGACTCCTTTCACTTTAGAGACGTGAAGGGGAAGATGAGCGAGGAGGAAGAGGATGAAGGTCACCGAGCGCTGACCAGATCTGTGGTGAAGGGGTTGGAGTCAGAACAGAGATCGATAAAATTGAATTGATACACAACCACGATACGGTCCACAAGTGTTTGTAACTGCTGAAAATGGCCTTAAGAACTTTCCAGGCTGTTATTTACTGAGATGAAATGGTCTTTGGCGGCAGTTTCCACTCTGCCGCACCTCTTTTCCAAGTAAAAATGTTTTTTTTTGCTACTTCCTATTCCATTTTATAGCACTAATGGCTCTAAAACAACAACCTGGAGATCAAGGACTCCTGCTGATGCTGCTGCCAACTTCAGTTGGTAAGGAAGGATGTGAAAGCCTGAACTTTCTAGACTGAAGCTGTGCAGATGAATGACTTTGTCGAGGGCTTTTCATCAGTATCTGGATGATAAAAACATCCTCAAATCACAAATGGCCATTTTCAAGCACAGGAAAGAAACAAAGTCATTCCAAAATTTCCCTCCCACCTCATTTCACACCTTTGATTTCTCTGTTATCAGTCTTCTTTGCCTAATCTTTGGTCCTTGACATGGAAACACAAACACAAGTTTTGGAACTATTAGGTCCCAGGGGGGTTTTTACAGGACGGGGTTGCAAACTTCAAAGCCTCATTTACTGGCAGCAGGAGCTTTTACAGTTGATGTGTGTTGGTTGGGTTGCACGATACAAATCTGAGCATGTCGAGCCCAATTAATACCAATTAGTGAACAAACGGGAGGCGCAACAGGAACACAGAGGCTGCCAATCATCTCACTAATCGACGTTTAGAGTAATTGTACTAATTTCTCAAAATGAAGGCAGTACAGGTAGAAAACTGTTTTAAAATGGTTTCATGTGTCCGGATCGGGGAGTTGAACCCCCAAACTCCAGTGTCAGTGTTCCTGCTCAGGAAGGATTAAACCTCTTTTCAAGAGGATCGACTACATTTCTTTAAAATCCATCTCAGAGTGGCAGCTGTCTGTGAGAATACAGTTTTAGAAAGCAAAGAATTAACTCTA